GATCATCCCCACGGAGGTCTTGCCCGTGGAGATCCGGTCGGCGGGACAGAGCATCGACGTGGCCGCCAACCTCTGCGTCACCTTCGTCCAGAGACGGTCCTTCCTCGCCATGCTGTGCCGCTTCAAGCACGGCACCTTCGCCTACTTCTCCGCCTGGGTCGCCATCATGACGGCCTTCATCGTCGTCTTCCTGTCGGAGACCAAAGGGGTTCCCCTGGAGTCGATAGACGACCTCTGGCGTTGCCACTGGTACTGGCGGTGGTTCCTCGTCGACGGGAGCAAGCAAGATATGAAGCCACCTCAACCATGAGCTCCATGTTGTGTCGCAGCCTTTGGGAGTCTCGTATTACGTTCCCTCCCAATCGCCAAACAAAAGCTTGTACAGTAGGAGAAATATTAGGCAGAAAAGAAATAAGAAGAGAAGTAAAATAATTATTTTTCTTGGTGAAGAGATGCCTGAAATTTTTTATCTTTATTTATATATAGGTCCCGTATTTTCCCAATTAATTGATTATGACCACTCATTAGAACTTTTTACTCTTATCTTTGACACAAAATATAAGTGAGTCAACTACAATATCATCAAGTTAATATTTTAAATATAAAAAATTTGCATGAGAATAATTTTTTTTTTTGGAAATATGTCATTTTATCCATTTATCACAAATTTATAAGATAATGAATTGGAAAATAAAATAAAGAAATATGTAGATTAAAATGAGACAAGAAAATAACTTAATATATGTGAAGGAGAATGATATTTGTTGATATTGATGTGAGAGAGAATTTTTCAGTGTTGGGATGAAATAATTTGAATAAAAACAAGCAAGTATTTTGTTTCCATGCATGCTTGGATTTCTTATTTTGTCCAAAGAAAATAAAATTAAATTACTTTCAAGGGCGAAATTAAACTAAGCCTTGACGTTTTTTTTTTCCCAAAAAAAAGCTTGTAAATCGTTTTTAGAAAAAGGGGAAGAAATAGGGAGAGAATAAAGAAACTTATTTCTTGGGTAAAGAAATACAAGCTTTTTTTTTTTTCTTGTGCCACATGATTGGGTCAATAAGAACTCAATAAGGAGACCCTAATAAACCAAAATTACTACGTCAACATGATAGAATATTTTTATAAATAGTTCTTGTTTGAGGAATTTTTCTTCTACTGTTCTATAAATAGAAGTCTCTCATGGTTTTGAATCCAAACTTTTATTTTTGATCCTCTTATGGTATTATTGGACTTGTATTGCATACTAGAGAATCATCCTTTTTAAGGAGTAGTGAAATTAAACTGCCATGGATCTCTTTCTGATGTTGCTGTCTCTGCCTACCGGCAGATCCCATTTCATATCTAAGATTCGAGCAGTATCTGATGAGGCATCAGACAGAATCCACATAAGTCTTCTTCTTCTTCCCCATCTACTGACGTATATGGCATCCCACACATCGTGCATGGCGGGATAAGGTAGTGGAAAGATATCGATCCCTTCCGTGACTGCCATCCGCATGCAGCCACCATGAACCACCTTCCTTTCTGCAAGACATGACTGCTTTCAGTGAAGCCTTAAGTACATGCGTGGGACTCGAAGGCATCGACTCCACCTGCTCACTAAGCGATCTAAAACCATTATTAGGGTTTGCTCCTCAAGTAGGAGAGTATGTCACGTGGTCTTAAAACTCCTCCCTATTGTTGATTGAGTGGGATCATCATTGTTGGATAAAGGACGAGGAGTGATCAAGATAACAATGTCAAATTTTAATTAGAGCGGCAACTGAAGAGTGAATAGTGGGCTGGATTATTTGTGAAGCTTGACGACTACTCATAAATATGAAATTTCAACAATCTTTACTAATTTTAGAAAGTTAGTCAAAAACTTATTTCAATCTTTCATTAAAACAATCTACTCTGATGGCGAAGGCGAATATCAAGCCCTCATATCTTATCTCACAGCTTGTGATATACAATACCTCATGTCACCCCCCTCGTACTCCCCAATTAGTTAGTTCTGCTGAATGCAAGCATCAACATATAGTTGAAACTAGTCTCACGCTTCTACATCAGGCATCCATGCTATCAACTTTTTTGTTAGTAGTCTTTCAAATTACAGTCTATCTCATTGATCGTATGCTCACTCCAATCACCATCTATTCCGCAAGCTTCCAAACCTTTAAAAACTCAAAATCTTTGGTTGTCTATGTTATCAATGGCTACGTCCTTATGCCTTACATAAGCTAGATCTAAGCCTTACATTTTTATAATATACTCTCTTGAACATAACACTTTACATTGCTACAAATCTCAAACTCAAAAAGTCTTTATATCCCATCATGTTATTTTTGTGGGATCTTATTGTTCTTTTCAAAATCATGAGCATCCTACCATGCAAGCTACTCCGACAAACATACATCACTGGAATGTCTCTCTGGTCCCATCACACGAACCTCTCATATCACCATCTAGTCCTTATCCTCAAGATCCAAACACTCATCTAGTTCAACAGCTCCTCACTCCTTGCTTCATAGGTTTCTCCTATTGATGAAGCAATACCCTCGGCAACATCGCTATTGGCTTTGTTTTCTCCTAAACCTCATGATATTGAAGTGCTACGACCAGTGTAAGTGACTCACCACCAGCTATACCAAATATATAACCTACCACTTCTATAGCCCCTAGTCATCCAATAGCAACACGCTCCAAAAGTGGTATTTTTAAACCATGTTAAGTCCTTGACCTACATACTATAACGAACTCTTCTCTTGAGGCTAGTGAACTTACCATTATTACTCAAGCTCAAAAATCTCCTCATTGGCGTAAAGTCATGTGTGAAGAATATGATGCTCTTCTCCATAACTCTACATTGACCCTAGTATTCTTTCATCACACACAAAACATCATTGGGTGTAAATGGGTCTTTCAAATTAACCGGAACCCAAACGGATCCATTGTTAGATATAAAACACGTCTAGTAGCCAAAGGGTTTCATCAACTGACTTCATAAAGATATTCAGTCTCGTTATTAAACTCACAACAATCTGGCTTATTTTGAGTTTGGCCACCTCAAAAAGCTAGCATATACGATAATTGGATGTTAACAATGCCTTTTTACAGGGGACTATAACTGAAGATGTCTTTATGCAGCAACCTCTTGGCTTCGTTCATTCACAATATCCGATGCATATCTGCAAATTGTAAAAAGCTATTTATGGACTTTGTTAAGCTCTAAGAGTTTGATATACTGAACTTGGCTCGTTTTTGACATCAAGAGGCTTAATCAACTCCAAGTCTGATACATTGTTATTCCTACGACAACGAAATGAAAATACAATATATCTTATAGAATATGTGGATGATATTATTATCATAGGCAATGATCCTCTAGAGATTCAAGCATTTCTAAAGCAACTAGCTGATCGATTCTCCCTTAAAGATCTGGACATATTGAGTTATTTTTTGGGAGTAGATGCAACATTCACATCCTCAGATCTCCTCCTATCACAAAGAAAATATATTCAAGACTTATAATCAAAGGCAAACATGCATGATGTAAAAGAGGTTACAATTTCCCTCTCTATTAGTGACTCACTTAAATTATGTGATGGAAGTTCTACTAGAAACTCTACTTAATACTGACAAGTACTTGGCTTCTTACAGTACTTGGCTTTCACTCGTCTAGATATCTTATTTGTAGTCAATAAACTATCATAATTCATGCATCAACCATCTACTACGCATTGGTTTGTGGTCAAACGAATTTTACGGTATCTTAAGGGGACCCTCAATCATGGCATCTTTCTTCGCAAACACACTCCGCTTCATCTCCATGCCTTTATTGATTTTGATTGGGTAGAAAATTTTGATAATAAAATATCCACATCGGGGTATATTATTTTCCTTGGAGCTAATCCAATTAATTGAGTTCTAAGAAGCAAAAGACAGTCACACGATCTACAATTGAAGGTGAATACCGTGTCATCACCATTGCTACTAGTGAGATCAATTTGGTCACAAATCTACTCAAAGAACTCAACATCAACTCTACCTTTCCTCCTACAATATATTGTGATAACATTGGAGCTACCTACCGATGTGTCAATCCAATTTTTCAATCATGCATGAAACATATTGTCATCGATTTCCACTTCGTGCGAGATCAAGATATCAAATATAACTACGTATTTCTCATATACATACTGCTGATCAACTAATAGACTCACTCACGAAGCCTCTCACTCGTAAACTATTTTCGTTACATCGGTCCAAAATTGACATTCTTAATATAAGCTCAATATTGCTGGGGCATGATAATAGATAAAGATTTCCGTAAGAAGAAATCTCACCGAAAAATTAAGAAAAAATCTCTTTTCCTAAACATATAAATAAGACATTGTACTCAACTATTTTAGGAGTAATTTTGATCGCTACAATTCTAACTTGTCAATATCACTGTTAGGAAATTGGAAAAGGAGAGAGCTGCATGATTCTCCCTTTCAGCTGCATTTTGGAATCTTCTTGTTCTGTCACATCTTGTTGCCCTGACAGCCAAGTCAACACTCAACTGCCTGAGATGCCATGTTTCTTCTCTACTTATCTGAAACACCCTCTTCAATTTTATCTGGAAGGATATGGCAGTGGCAACATCACATCTTTTATTTGCAGACGTTGTTTTCTTTGCAGGTGGAGGTGGGTCTCAACACGTACTGTTTGTAGCTTAACTAATGCATCAACTATGTTCTTGAGCGCAAGAAGATGCTTTGAACATGGTGCACATGCTACAGAATAATGCAAATAATTGACAATGAATTACGCTTATCACTATCTATTGATTTCTTTTTCTGTGTGGAAATGGTAGTGCCTAAGAGAATCGATCTTATTCTCGTTAACAAGATGTGACAGATATGGTGTTTCGTATGGTTAAAGCCACTGTATCACAGAGAGAAAACAAACAAGGAAGGAGGAGGCAGATGAATGAACGATCACCAAAACCTAATCGAAGTATAGATCCACATAGACATTATGTGTGCGTACATACAGGAATACATATATGATGCATATGCATCGCTTTAAGCACTTTCAAAGATCGACAGAAGCTACAAGGAATGGGTCGTCGAACAATATCTCCGGCCAGGAGGGAGGAGGGTTCCCACTACGAGCATCCCCCTGCAGGGTGCCGATCGAGACATCAGCGAGAGGAGGAAGAGGTGGCATGAATGGCGGTCCCGGTGAGGTGTCTCCCAGGCTGAGTCCAATTATATTGGAAGATTGCTTGGCCTCGTTGCTTGTAGGCTGATCGAAGAAGAAGCACGGTACCTGAAGCTCTGGCAATGGGTCGTCATCCCGTTTCTGGCCATCGATATCTCGATAAGGAGTCGGAGAAGGGACCGAAGGGGTCTCCATGGCGGTGGCTAATTGTTGGAGGCGATAAAAGTACTGCAGCTTTGCAGCCTGGGCAGCCTCGGCCTGGAGCCGCGCAGCGTGGTCGTCCCAAGGGCGGCCGTCGATGAGCTCGCGGAGGTTAGCGACGGCGATGAGCTGTTGAAGGGTGGCGAAGAAGTCGGTCCTCGGGCGGTGCGTCATCGGGTCGAAACCCATCTGGATCAGCTTCTTCTTGAGGTGGGTGTTCCAGAAGTTCTTGATCTCGTTGTCAGTCCGGCCCGGGAGGTGGGAAGCAATCGACGACCACCTAAATTGTTGGAAGGCAGCTTACACACTCAGAAGCTCGAAGATTATTATCAGTTAACCAGTGCCGGAAATGCATGCTAATTACTTGTTGCCGAGGATGGAGTGGAGGTTGAGGATGGTCTGCTCTTCCTCTGCGGAGAACCTGCCTCGCTTGATATCTGGCCTCAAGTAGTTAGTCCATCTTAGCCTGCAGCTCTTGCCACATCTATTTAGTCCTACACCAGAACACACACATGAACATGAGAGAGAGAGAGAGAGAGAGATAGAGAGAGAGAGAGAGACAGAGAGAGAGAGGACCTGCAAGCTTTGGGAGGGATCTCCAGCTGCCACGGCCATGCTTCTGGATGTACCGGACCAGCTTGTGGTCTTCCTCAGGAGTCCAGGGACCCTTCTTGAGGCCATTCTCATCACAGCAGGGGGATCTCCCCATTGAAGACTACAACTTCCTTTCTTCTCTCTAAGCTTCTTCCACTATGCCACACCTGATGCATGGATTCTCCCTTATATACACTAAATTTTGGTTCATTTCATCCAAAAAGACTAACACGCCCTTCCTCTTTACCTTTCTTTCTTCTCGGAATGGGCAGTAATCATCAGATCAGATGGAGGGTTTCAGTCATCAACAGCAAAAAGCCATCATCACCTGCTCATATAGTAATCTTAAGTAATCCGAAGAGTACATTTTTAATTAATATATGAGATTATTATAAAATTCCTAAGTTATCTATATTTAAACATAATTCTTCTTATATACCTCTTACATAAATCTGAAAAAGCTTTTTCCTTAATCCTCTTTGGAAACCCCCCTCAAGAGTATCCAAAATGTTCCACCTCTCGTTATCAATAAAATTCTATTTTTACTACAGTTTTAATTTAATTAAAATTTTATCAACTAATTTAAATATGATTATGATTCCTAAAATTATTGACCAGTCCTAACACTAACTATCATCTTTTCCATACCAAATAGTTGTGCTACTGCTGCTGCTCCAAAAAACAAAGATGAATATCTTGTAAGATTGGGCAGAGAATGGGATCCTTGAAGAACGTACATGCATGCAATAGGAGTGGTGTGAGGACTGAACGGAAGACTGAGGGCAGAGAAAGAGGAGAGAAAGGTGATGTGTATAACGTAAGATCAAGCTAACTCACTGTGCGAAAACATCGATGAGGACAAGAGGATGATGCCACTTCCTTTGACGATGTGGTTGAGTTAGCAAAGAGTTGGTGCAGCCAACACCCAAAATCTCCACCATCTCCTTCAGCTTCAACAATCGAAGACGACAGTCTTCATGGCTGACGCACTTCCTCCCATCCCACAATCTTCTGCACCCATCGAGACTCGTGTAAAGTCTCCTGTGTAGAAGATTCCGAAGAACAATTTAATGCTTTCTTGAAGGCCAATTGTGTCGTCAGAGTTTGTAGACTATTTCCACTGCAAGTCCCTATAAACCTACGTAAAGAATGCATCGAACGGAGGTAGCATCACTAGCTACAAAGAACAAATGCAAGAGGACATGAGAAGAAATGCAGTCCTCTCTCTCTCTCTCTCTCTCTCTCTCTCTCTCTTCCCTTTCTGTCGCATCATTTGGTGCGAACAACAAGCAAATCAGCAATATGTAAAAACCCATTACCAGAGGAATTAAAGCCTACTAACTCTCTCATTCAGCTAAGCTTGTGTGTCTGATATTTTCTAGGGTTTCTTCCTCCATCAAGGTTCCTTGTGCAAGGAACCATCCTGAGGTAACAAAATACTAGAAGACATTGATCTATGAATCTAAGCTGGATTCATTCAGTCACCTGTATACTGATCGAGGGATACAGACATCAATCAACTCATCTGCCTTTATAGATCATAATGGTCTTTAATAATGTTTCTCTCAGTTTCTGAACACAACAAATGCAGCCTAGCTGAGACAGATACAGGATTTACTAAGAACACAAATAATGCCAAGCAGTTTACAAATTAGACCATTGAACTTTAGAAAGCCTCAAATATCCTTAATTATTTTATCTATCATAAAAAAATATTAAATTTTTTTTACATGAGAAATAAGAGGGAAGAAAATTTTGTTTTGTTCATTGTTCTCTTATTCAATATGTTTGCTCTATCTCAGTCATTTTCTTTCACTGTATTATTATTTTTCTACAATATATATGTTATCATTTTAAAATAACATGTAATTATATATATATATATATATATATATATATATATATATATATATATATATATTACATATACCAAAAGGATCCGTGCTATTATCCTATACACCCGTGAATGGTATTCGAGTTATCAACTTTGTGATGAGCAGATGTAGGGATCCGCAAATCTAATGCTAACTTCATCATATCTTTTCCATTTCAATGAAAATAACAGGCAAAAGCTCCTGAGTTCGATTTCATGAGGAGTTGAACGTTCGCAACCAAGTGGTTATGACTGGAGCCCAGCACTGTCCATGTCAGTAGTTAGCTCTTAATTGCCAATGCATCATGATGAAGACAACAAGGATTATGACCTTAGAAGGAATAGTAAGATAAGTGTAGTAATTGTAATGAGAACAGTTACAAAGAGAAGGCAGGAATAAGGATTAATATCAGAGACAACTAATGATGGGAAGTAAAAATTGAGAGCAAGGAATGCTTTTGACATGTTCTGATACATTTGGTGATGCAGCGCATCCAATGCTCTCATGTTTTAAGATAATAAATTAGAAGTTTGATCCTATGAAAGATTTTTCATATCTTGAGATAATTATAAAAATTAAAATCATCAAAGTATAATACATTATAATTTTAATATGTATTATAATTTTATGCTTAATTTTTAATAAATTATAGCTCATTAATTAGGTGATTGAATGGTTCAAAGGGATCTAGTGGCTCAAGTTATCATTATGCAAATGATATCTTTGAAGACATGAATCCCTTTATATCCAAAAAGCTTATAGAAGACTCATTCATGGAGAGATTTTTTTGGTACAAATAATAATATCAAAATTGACTTGTTGAAGAGTTTTTTGATTGGTTTAGTGTTATTGAAAAAATCTTTGAATATAAAGAGATGCTCGAAGATTGAGATATAAAATTAATTACTACAAGACTTTGAGGTTATGCTTCATTATAGTGGGATAAGATGCAAGAGATGCATCTTCAGAAAGGAAAGATGAGCTTTGCAAGAATTTTCTTCCATTTGATTATATTCAAATTTGCTTTCACACAATTTAATGATCTTTAATAAGGTAGCAAAATCATCATCAACTATACTAAAGAATTCTATAAGTTCATGACCCAAAATAATACTCAAGAAATAAAACAATAATTTATTACAAGATATATCAGTGGCCTATGAGTTATGATTTGAGATGAAGGAGAGATGCAATGAATATGGAGGTTATTGATGCTTATCGAATAGTGCTCAAGATAAACCATATTCTAAATCATATCAAATTATATTGTTTAAAAAGATAATGAGATGCATATTATTAATCAGTACTAGTTTCTTTTCCGATGAACAAAAATTATAAAGATGATATGTGGTGTGATATAGTATTAATGGATGTTTGCTATATACTTTTGAAAAGATCGTGATAATATGATATGTACTATCCATGATATAAAAAGAACACCTATATATTTAAATTTAATGAAACTAAAATTATGTTTTTGTTATACAATGTAGAATTTGCTCCTAAACCTTAATCCAAATACTAGAAAATAATAAACTTACTTTAAATAAGTTTATAAGATAAAACAAAGAAACTAAAGTTGCATTTATATTAGTTGCTAAAGAATATATGTGGCCTATAGAAATTCTTCATGAAGTAGAAGTTATTTTGCAGGAATTTAGAGATATATGCTCTTATTAACTTTCTAGTTGTGCCTCCTTTTCGAGATATTCAACATTAAATTGATCTGATTCTAGGAGTAATTTTACCAAACAAATCTCTATTACCGGATGAGTTCAAAAGATCATGAAGAGATGAATAGATATGTTACGTATCTACTATATATGGATTATATTTGAGATAATTTAAGCTCGTGTGTCGTTCTAGCTCTATTGACTCTAAAGAAGGATGAAACTCGATAGATATATGTCAACAATCGAGATATCAACTAGATTTTTATCAAGTACAAGTTTTCTATTCTAGGTGTGGAGAATATGTTTGATATTCTTATTAGTGCTCTTTTCTCTAAAATTGATCTTTGAAACGACTATCATCAAATCTATACCAAATCAAGAGATAATAAAAGACTACTTTCAAGATTGAAGAATGTTTATATGAATAACTAATTATGTAATTTGGACTTTCAAATATTATAAACATTTCAAATGAGTAATGAATTTTGAAAAGTTTATGGAAGAAATTTAATACCTACCTATTGTATAGTAATGCTTATCATCCTCAATCAAATGGATAAACTGAGATTGCTAATAGAATATTGAATAATCTACTACGATATTTTACTGTAAAAAGACCAAAAGAATTAGATCTCATGTTGAATTTGCTTATAACTCTAAATCTTACTTAAAATACCTAAATCAGTTTTATTACGTTGAAAGGGAGAAGATTTTTCTATTACCATGATAAAAAAATTCTTGAAGAAGAAAAAGCATGAATCTAGCAACTAAGTTTATAAATAAAATACCAATAAGTATCGTCACCTTGTTTGGATCGTTTAAAAAAAAAAATATTTTCCAATGGAAATTTATAATAAACTCAAGGACAAGAAAATTGGTCCAGCCTTAAGGGATTAATATTCAAGATAATCAGTTTACCATGGCAATAATAATAATAATTTATGGATAAGTTCTTTCTGAGAGGATGATACAATTCATGGTGAGTATTGACTGTTCCTAAGTTGTAACACAATAAATCAAAGCTCAACTCTATTAAATTTCAAGAAGATGATTCATATCTTGAGATAATTATGAAAATTCAAAATCTAAAATGCATCATAATTTAATATGTATTATAATTTATACTTCAGTTTTAGTAAATTATGACTCATTAATTACAAAAGATATATAAAAAGGGAAGGAAGGAATATTGAAGAGGATTCTAGTTTTTGAAACACTATCAAACATTTATATTTTGAGTTATCAGCTGTTAGTATCTTTTGAGATGGAGAAAGTTTTTTTTGTCCTCTCACATCTCACATCTTTTCTCACCCTCTGTTTTTCTCTATTTTTTGTTTCACATTATTTGGTTATGATTAAATATGGTTTGGTAGTCAATCTAACATGATGAAATTCATCTAATAATTTTATTTTATTTTATCGTTTGGCTTTTGAGAGAGAAAATAATGTCACGAAAGAACACAGTCATTGAGTCATGACTCGATCAAAGAAGAATTTATGTTGAAAGTATAAGAAAATTCTATCTATTTGTGTTTTATCTTAATCCGATTCTGCAAAAGAGTGCTCGCTAAGGGGTGCGGTGCCTTTGTTCGTGATCAAGGCAATCAGTGAGTACCATATATTAGTAGTAATGTTATGCTCTTATATCCATCCGAGTGAAAATGATTTTGACCAAAAAGTCACATAGTTACATGTTTTGATTTATTGTGATGAAAAAGGTTCGAATGTTTAAATCCAATTCAATGAATTCAAAATGAAACATACCTGATTTTACATAGTGTTAATTTTTTTTATTAATGAGAGAATATTATTCTCATACATATTGTTGTTGATGTTGTAAGTTCGATTGACACATTATTATTTTCTTCTTTAATTAATTAAAATTTTACGAGTTTTTTATTTTTTATTTTTTGTAAATGGGAGAATACATTTCGTAGCTCCTAAACCCGAAATATTAATTTTCTTCGTTTAATCAAATCATAATTTAATCTCATCATTTTTGTTCATCCACTTTACTCGGATAATTCGAGTTGATTTAATCCAACATTAATCACCTGATTCAATGTTTTTTTGTTTTTTGTCAAAATTGCTTTTAACTCTTAACTCATTCTTACAATTCATTAGATGGAACTTATTAACTCATATATGATACTTAATATTTATAATCCGACTCTTTAATAATTTATTAAGATATAAGTTAAATCTGAGCTCATTTTTATCCTCCGATTGTAAATTTCTTAGAAATACATATTTGATGATTCTTTTTATGTTTTGATTGTTGCATCCATTTCAATTGTTTCTCGAATTTGATAAGACTTAATTTAGAGAGTTCAATCTCGTCTTCAAAAATCTTTAAATTGATGTTCGAACCACAAGCTCACTATAATTTTTGCAAATTATCCAAATATAAAATAAGCCCAACTCTAACTCAAATTCAATTTGTCAAAAATTCTAACTATTATTTTAACCCAAAAAAATAAAAAAATAAATACTTTTAAAATATAAATTTTTATGGTAATTGATGGATTGACTTATTGAATCCTAATCATCATGTCTTAGTCAAGCCCTTATAATCAAACTAGAGGTGTTTCAATGACATCTAATTATGACTTATCATTGATTTATAAATTTATTTATGTGTGTTTAAAATAATTTAATAAACTATTTTATTTAGTTTTAAAAGTTAAAATTTAGGAGCATTGAACCTCGTTGATTTCCGCGTGTGGATCGATGGACGGCTGAGATCTCAAAGATCAAGGTCATGTGCTGTGCGCCAACGCAACGCGATCGTCAATCATCGACGGCGGCGATGGCATCGATCAGCATATTCTCTCTCTCTCTCTCTCTCTCTCTACCTTCTCTGTTTGAAGAGGAGAGAGGAGAAGGACGGCAGCCTTTCTCTCTCACTCTCTTTGAACCCTGCTAAAGCCCTACCGGTCTCCGTTCTCCGACGATCGGATCGAGCAGTTCCTCAAATCCATTCGGGATGGAACTCTGCAAGAACTGGAGGCGGGGGAGGAGCAGCCCCCCAAACGGTGTCAAGGTATGGATTGTCCTGGGGATCACCGTCGCCGGCGTGCTCATCCTCGCCGAGGCCACCCGCCGACGGAGGCGCATGTCGAGGGGCGTGCCGCGCCGTGTCGAGTTCTTCGGCGCCTTCGTCGAGCGGTTCGAGCTGGCCCCCTCCCCCCAGCCGCCTCCCCCTGCAGCTCGCCACCCCCTCGCCGACCTCAAGTTCGCCGTAAGCGACAAGTCGGTCGCCTTTCTTATTTGTCTGCCTCGATCATCTCCTTCTTCTGTTTCCCAGCAAAATTTTTTTTCTTTTGTTTGAGTCCTGCAGTTTTGAGATCAAGGGTTATGTTGCTGGGTACGGGAATCCGGATTGGAAGAGAACGCATGAGCCTGCTAGCCAGACGGTGGTGGTGGTCTCGGCGCTTCTGGAGCGTGGAGCAACGTGCGTCGGGAGGACTGTCATGGATGAATTTGCATTCGGGTCAGCATTCTCGATAGAATGATAGCTTTCTTTCCCCTTACTGTTTTGCTGGTTTATCAGCTATAAGTTCTTTGGCATGCTAAGTGATTGCAAAGGGGGTTTCTCTTTTGAAGTATATGTTTCTTTTTCTGCATCAAGATTCTAATAACTAATTTGCATATTGAGGAAAAACCAAAAGTTTGTGTAGATTTATTTGTGCACGGAGTGGATAGTGCGATTAAAAAAATACAGTGCGAATATGAGTCATTAATGCTGTTCAAAGAGAACTAGTTGTTATATGCATTTGTTTTGATCTTTGTGTTCCTTTCATGCAGAATTTTTCTTTTAATAAAAGTTTGGAAAACACATGAATCTGCTCACTCTAGCACTAGGTGATATATCTCTTTGGAGATCTGCAAATAGGGTTTCACAGGCATCTAAGTTGCTCACTCTAGCAAGTGTAGGACATCTGTGACCAAAGTTCAATGTTAAATGCAAGCGATAAAGGTCTCATGAACATAGAGAAGAGGAGTAGCAGATGAGACTTTGGGCAAAGAACTTGCTGAACATAGCTTAGAAACATGGTTTTTTACATTGAAACTTGAAAAGACCGTTGTGTTGGTTGATTCCCCAATTTTCCCTTTTGTGGTTCTAGTGAATTTTATGAGATGATATTTTTTGTGGCAATAAAAAAGCTCTTATGATTATAAACCATCTACGATAAACTAATATAGCGTGATCAGATGCAGACTGCAAAACCAAAAGGTTGTTTGTTGCATTCTACGTAATCATTAGTTTTGCCTTCTCATGTGGCTAATAAGTAAAATGGTCCATGTGGATGATACAAAATTTGGGTTGGTACACTTGTTATAGTCTTTATATATCTGGTAATGCCTGGTCAATCTGCTTTTATGTTGTAACAGTGTAACAGGAGATAACTTGCACTATGGTATGTTGTAACAGTGTAACAGGAGATAACTTGCACTATGGTACCCCAATTAACCCAGAATTGCCATCTCTGGTCCCTGGAGGATCATCCAGTGGTTCTGCTGTGGCTGTTGCTGCTGAACTTGTTGACTTTGCTCTTGGTATGTGAGTGATTCATGATTAAAACCATTTACCAGTATATTAGTTGATGGTTTCTCAAAGACTCAAACTGTGCTAAAATGTTGGCCAGCGCACTCATCATTTGTCTCTTGCATATTCTTTTGCTTAATGCCTCGTTAGTTCATGTATTGGTTGTACAGCTGCATCACTGAGGCATGATTAATTTGCTATATTAAATACTCCCATCTTTTTATTGTCATCTTTCATGCCTCAGATATTGCTTACGGCCTGGTTAGAAAATTTTCTTTGTTATTTTAATGTGAGAATTAGTGCTCAAGTTTTTATCTGCTCCTGTTACTACTTCAGAAATCATTTGTGACCCTTCTTAATGCAAATGCTTTTGTAGGATTCAGCTCATTCCTGATTACCAATTACCATTTGATTTTTGCCTTGAAACTTCCATCACTCACATACATCTGACAGTGAATGCATAATTATTTAGTTGCAGCTTTATGCTATTTTGTTTGACTTGAGAGAGATTGGTAGTTGAAATCAGGTAAAATTTTTTGGCATTTTAGGGTGACAGCATGTTCCCATGTACTTCGTGTCTCATGGTTTTTAGTAAAGGGGCATTATATATGCCTTGTTTTTCACGGGTTCTTTGTCTTAATTTGCAGCTTTGATGCTAAACTAACTGTTGCAGATATGTCATTCCTGTATCTGTGATAATGCTCTTGATCCTGCTCTTCTGGTAGCATTTCCTAATTTATTGCTTACTTGTTGTAAAGACAAATATTTTATGCTGCTCTTTCATTTTAAATTCAAATTGCTTGATGAGGCTTATGGTTTTATAGGTACTGACACCATTGGAGGCATGAGAATTCCTGCATCATTTTGTGGAATTTTTGGATTTAAACCCTCTCATGGAACTATATCTAACATTGGGGTGTTAACAAACTCACAGAGTTTAGATACTATTGGTATGTCTTTGTGAACTTGTTAGCTCTTTTTTCTGTTTGATTTGCAAATTGAGAAGCACAACATTACTTTGCAAGCATTTTATCTATCATATGTTTTTCTTCAAGAAAATTGGCAAAGTGCTTCATGTATCTGGACTTATTTAGAATTAAAATTTATTTATGATGCTAATGTAAATAATATCTGGAAAAGGCATTTGTTATTTAGTGTTATGACTGTCATTTGTAGTTGTTAGATCTTTATATAACATACTTAGAAGCTGTCTGTAGTTGCCTGTGGTAATCCAAGTGCATTGTCTTGAAGAGTAAGAATTCAATTTGTTTGACACTGGTACTCTGTAAATAAGAGGGCATAAGTTCTGGATCTCTGCCTTTTGTTGTCTGAAGTATTTAAGAACAAATTCATGAAATATGCTATTACTGCATCAGAGTTTTTCTTCATTATTCTTTATGATTTATGTCCATGTCAGCATAGGTCTTCCCTCTCTGCCTAAACCTTTCTGAGACATATTGAAGACGACTATGCTACTGCAGCTGCCACATAGCTTTGTTGGACATCCGCATTCATCTTTCTGTTATTTCATGGCATGGCTAATTGATGAGTTGGCATTGGTACTTTACTTCCCCTAATAAACTTCTTTTTCTCATCCTTCCACTATGATAGTGGATACAGATACAGGGTATAGACATGTAACTGACATGCTATTACATCAAATCTTATAAGAAGATATATACAACATCTATATGGCAAAAGGAAAAAGAAGTATAGTGTTGTATATGATAGAACTTGACATCTGCAATAGATGGTATTATATAAATTTATCATGAAAGGGAATAGGTAATTAACTTGCATTCATAACCCATTCATCATTGAAAAATATTTTACAGCATAGTACCTTATGAATGTAGAGAAGATAGCAAGAACTAATAGCAAGAACATATGATTAATGAAGTTAAATCATTATTTAAAACTAGATAATTGTAATCTGATTCTTTATAAAACAATATATAAGCAGTTTATATATTGTTTTAAACTAAATAATTTATCCATCTTATCTACAAAAAAGTCTATATCCAATAAAACAAAATTCTCCCAATTAAATATTGGCAAACATATCCTACATATCATGGATCTTTATTAATAGTTTAAAGAATGGATACTCTAAGCGAGTATGAGACACAAACAGAAGTATACTACAAGAAGCATATCCTAGACGTATAAAAAATGGATATGTTATTCAACTAAAAGTATTCATGCCCCACAGTCCTTATGTTTGCTGCATCAATCTCGTAAAATGCCATCCCCCTAGGCAATGTCATGACATGCCAAAATATCGCTGGCTGCTGTAAAGTTTTCTTTATTGTGCCTTGAGACAAAAGAGTGTTGACTCTTGGAATCTGCTGTCACTACTTATGGGTATCACAGTCTGTTGTCTTAACATCATTAAATCCATGTACCATCTAAAACAGCTAAAAAGAATATTGTGCAATCAAAGTGCAGTAAAGGGCACTGATGTTGGAAGAAATTAAGAGCTTTTAATCATTCAAGGTAACCATAGAAGTAGGTTACCATATTCCATTTTACCTGCTTATGTGAAACGTAAAATCTAGAAACACTAATCATGTCACTAACTAATGATGTAATATGTAATCAGAAAAAAACATATCTGAATATTTCACTAGATGGTTGGACTTATCATTACACCCATGCAAACAAAGCTTTGACTTTCTTCTGCTTTGCTGGGATATTTTCTCTTGTGATATAATGAGCCAACTGCAAGATTTGCAATTCTGTTTTTTTTCCCCACATTTATACGATTTTTTTTCTGACTTTTATTCAAAAGATGTTCCCTCTTGGTACTTCTATTTTGGAGAATTTTGGCTCTCCAAAATGTATGCAAAATGTTTTTTTTTTAATCACCTGTATAAGCAAAGAGGTCTTTCCCATAGAATGGAGTGTCTTAATATGTCTACATGCATTAGATGGAAAATGTTTTGTCATCACATTAGTAATTTTGGGTTTTTATACTCTTCATCCTAATCCCTTTCACCTTATTGTTTGTTATCTGCTGTACAAATTTCAAAGTTCCTTCTCTATTCACTGACTTGGAATCTGTATCAGGATGGTTTGCACGGGATCCATCTATCCTTCATTGTGTTGGGCATATATTACTGCAAGCATCTGCAATGGGACCAAAAAGGACCAGGCGGTTTATATTAGCTGATGATTGCTTTCAGATTTTAAGGGTTCCTAAGCATAAAACGGTGCAAGTTTTAGGCAAAGCTGTTGAAAATTTGTCTGGCTGTAAGCCATTATGGCTTTAAGTTTGCTGGTTCTTATAGAAAAAAATGATACTCATTTCATAATCACATGATTGTGATAAACAACTCATGCATGCTTTTGATTAGAAAATCATTTGCTATTTTGTGCAGACCAGCCTTTGAAGCATATGAATATCAGTCAGTATATCGCTACAAATGTATTGAGCTTGAAGGAATTTGTCAAGCCATCCACAAAAATGCAACATGGAAATTCTACTTTGAGGGCAATTTCTTCAGCTATGGTTTTGCTCCAAAGGTAAGTCAGTTATGTTTAATACAGTACACCATAACTCAATTTCATAAAATGGTTTGTTCTTGACTCTACCCCATCTGGATCTATTTGTGTATTATTAACACAAATATCTTCTGTCCACCTTTTTTTTCTCTTCTCTTTTATTGTCACTGATGGGTTTGCAGTAGGCAGAACCCTACATCATGTCACATAGACCATATAATTTTGAAGATGGATAATATGGTCTAGTATGGACTAACATGATCTGCTGTGTGCATTAAATTTCCATGCTAAGTTACTAGTTACAACACTGGAAATGCCTTATTGTTCAGACACGAAGATGATATGATCCTTATCCTTGTAATTGTGTATGCTTTCATGATTATTCTTTAATAATTATGTCTTTGGCATGTTATTCATGTTTTTCTGATGAGGAAAGGAATTAGGTAGTTGTCTGTCTCAGTTTTCTTAGGGAGTAGTATATAAATAATGAGACATCGTCAACACTTTGATGCAAGTGTTTGTCAGCAGCTAGTTGTGAATTGGGGCTTTCTCGTCTGACATATCATTCACCTTTCCAGATATGAATTCAAAACAAACCATGAGGATTGGTTTAATACAACAAAGCCCAGAATCGGTATAGATATTTCCTCTCAAGTTCTTGCGGCTGTGAACTCCACACAGGATAACATCAAGTCTTTGTATAAAATGCGTTTAGAACTGAGAAGTGCATTGAACAAACTTTTGAAGGTACTTTTCTGGTATTTGATATAGCAGTATTGTATATCATAACTTGATTATACTAGTGAATCTTGTCATTCTTCATTTGATGTACTCTAAATATTGTGCTATTGTTTCTTTCTGTTGATGAATTAAATATTCTTCTATGTAATATTAGTACATCTCAAACAGGGAAATATGACATGTCTCCTGTACTAACTGATTGTTGGATGCTTGGAATTTTGGTGATCGAAAAATAGGTTTCTGATGTGGATTTAATTACTTATTGCACCTTTTGGTTTCACTGCTTGGTCAGAGTATTCTGTCAGACCGGAAATGTTCTCTTGCAACTGTTGTAAAGTACTTATACAACCTAGCTTTTGTGGATTCTTTTATGGTCCATAAGGATCCAGTCCTGTATGCCTCTTATGGTTCTATTATTTTTGCTATTGATATCTTCTCAAGGATAATATACCTAGGATGTTTGTAGCTTATTCTAATTCTAAATCCCCATGGCTACCATGTGAACTCACCTCGCTGTAACTTACTCATAACCTGGAAGAGCATGTACATCTGTTCCACTTTGAAGAAGTTTGGGTTCTTCTGGTAGAAATGTGATGATATTAAAGGTTTTGTATGTACTAGAAGATGCTAACAATTTGAAATTGTGCATTCAGGGTGTACACCTATATACATTATGCAGTCAAAAAGTTGGCATCCTCGATGGTTAATATTTATTTAATATATATTCCTTTTACAAGGGAAAATGTCTTTTTTACTTAGATGTACTTATTTGTGCTGACATGGAAAAAAAAGAAGAAAAAATTGCATACTTTTTCAGTTTAGCTAGGTTCCATTTACTTGAATCCTTGATTGTGGAAAATCATTATTTTGGTATTCCACATAAGCACACTTCTTTCCTACCTTCAGTATTGCTGACCCAATTATAGTTTCCGCCTTTTTGCTTATTATTGCACATTGCTTCCTACTTATTTCTTTCTGCTATTGTTTATTTTGTTCTGATTATGACTTTTTGTTGTCTTTTATGTGTTCTCCAGTAATATTGTATGCTTTTGCAGGATGATGGAATTTTGGTAATTCCAACAGTCACAGAATTTCCTTTTAAACGTGATTCTAGGAAAAAGATGACTCCTGATATTGAAGATCATCTACATGCATTATTGAGCATTGCTGGGATGTCTGGCTGTTGTCAGGTACTTGATTGCATTTCTTTTGTAGTTTATAGTAGTTCAAATAAGTTTTGAAATGTACAAGTGATTAAGTCATGATAGTTCTTGTTGGCTGCTCTGCAACTTTAACACTACATTTTTTTTTTAAATTTGCAGATCACAGTCCCTTTAGGAAAGCATGAGAGCTATCCCATTTCTATATCATATATAGCAGCACATGGAGCAGATAAATTTCTTCTTGATACTGTTTTGGATATGTATTCGTCTCTCCAAGAACAGATTACAATTGCATCCAACTTGGTGCCAACACCTGATACCAATGGGGACATGGATGCATCAGAACTATGGAAAGAAAAGGTTTTTTTTGTCTTTTACTATATGCTGAATCTAGGTGGAATCTGGTATTAGTGATGGTTTGTAGTTTCTATTGGAAATTTTGAACATGGCTAGATCATATGCATGTTTTGCTTGCCTCTCTGGTCCTTGGAGTCTATCATGCTTATTACTGTAGTTTCATATATGTGATAATCTCTTGTGGAGTGTTATACGTCTTTTAAACCTCAATGTAGATGTTTAGAGATATCTGTTCTTTAATTTCATTGTTTGTCTAATCCTCTCTTTGTTTGGAATCTTTGTGAACCTTGATAACTGTAGAGTTAAATAGTGTGGTTACATGTTCCAAAACTTCTTAAATTTGTTTACCACATAGTAGGAGGAATTAAAAGGTATTATTAGGTCTTCAGATTTTCCAATCTGTTATAGTGATCTTTCAGTTCATGTCATTAATGTTGCAAAACATAACCTATCCTGATCAATAAGGGATCTTGACATGTACCTCTTTTTCTCATTTCCAATCATGGTTCATTTAAACTTTAACTCAATTTAATCAGTGAGATTCTTAGTTGTCTTTGCTTTCACCTTTTGCCTTCTATTAGCACAGCTAAATTTATACGCTGTAAGGGGCCCTAGGGTATTGAGACAATAAAAGCCTCTTCTGGATATTTTGCCATACAAATCAAACCTTTCCACAGTTAACAATCACCAATGTGAGAAAAGATGTGGTTTAATTTTCCCTACCCTAAGATCCAAAAAGCTTGATCCGTGTTATGCCAGAAGTTAGTAAATTAGGGTTTAATTGACTTCTAAGGGATTGTGTTTTCTTGACAGCCTTATTTAGTCCTTCAATTACTATAATGCTCTTCCACATGGTTAAAGATACTACAGCAACTTTCCTTGCATATTGACAGTCTCATAGCCACTGTGATCAATCTGGAGCCAAGTATCAGATAAAAAGCAAGATACCTGATCTAAAATCTTCATCAACAGTTATCTAAGGCCAAAGTCTGCAATGTTTGGAGCAACCACAGAATTTATTATTGGGATCAGTTCAAATTGGTCAAGTCAGTTGGATCGAATTATGTGTAATCAGTTTCTTTTTTTAAATCTGCTACCTTTCTGTTTCTGATGAAATGACTAGAAAGAAGTTTGGATCATCCAGAAATTACCTGAAACTGACATTCTGCTGAAAATCAGTTGGAAATCAATTTGGATCAGCCAGGCGAGATCATTGGCCGATCTCAATCTTGATTAATTGGATTAAATCACTCTGCCTATCCTGAAAACTGTCTCAGATAGACCTTGCCATTGAGATATGTTGACAAAGAAGACATCATGAATTGATATCTACTCCATTACTTCTTTCCTATCATTTTCAAGTTATGGTTGTAGTTTGTCAGGAGATAAGTATAAATATTTGATAAAATGCCCAACATTGCCATTAGAAATTCAACGTAAGGTTATATAAGGCTTTTTCTCTGCCTGTTGAGATTTAAGAATAACATTTGAATTTTCAAAAAATTCTATCACAAATAAAATATGGTCCTAATGATGTAATAGGGAAATGCTGCATACAAGGGAACACAGTGGAACAAGGCTGTTAGCTTCTACTCTGAAGCTATTAAACTGAACAATGCAAATGCAATATATTACTGCAACAGGGCAGCAGCTTATCTGAAACTGGCTTGGTATGTTATATATTGTACTATTCTTGATTGATTCATCAGTATGAAGCATTCAGTTTGACAACTTTGTCACAGTTTCCAGCAGGCTGAAGCAGATTGCAGCCAGGCTCTTTTGTTGGATAAGAAGGTGAGAATGCCCTTAAAAGAGTGTTTCCTTAACCTTCTACGTGTATTTAAACTTTCATGAATCCTTTAAATTATTTACTATTAACTTTTCCATTGCACTTATGAATTTCTTTCCTTCACAAACTATGAGCTGTTCTTATATCTAATATGCCTAATGCTGGATGGCTTCGCCACCTAATTTGTGGTTAAGTGACTGAGAAATAATCTGTCGAAGGAAAGATTGAATATAATCCAGAAGGACAATTTACCAAGTGCTAGGCATATGAATGCATATAATATGAATAGTAGTTGATATGAGTGAATTTATAGGTGCCTTTTTGAAGTTGAATGCTATAGGCTCTTTGCTGATCAACTCTTTATTGCCTGTTCTGATGAATGATTGCCAGAAAATTGCAGGCATGTCACTAGGATGACAAGTGTATTTTAGTCTTTGTAGATTTTTTCCATCAAAGAGAGAGGAAAGGTCTATTTTTAAGATCTCTGTTTTGTTATCAGAGCCATGGTTGCCACCTTGGTTTTTCCGTGTGCAATCACGACTAGAAGTGCTACTTTAAACTTTCTCACCTTACTAGAATGTGCCAGCTGTTGTCCTAGACAAGTGGAGCTTTGGGAATCCTGTAGTGCGTGCACAGAGTGTTGGGGATTTTGTTCAGATCTCTAAGGTAATGATTTCATGTGCCATTAGTGTTGATTTATGTCATACAACATGCTACCAGCATGAGGCATGATACCATCCTATGTCTAAGCACCGCAGTGGGCTATCATATAGGCCGTGTCTACTAGTGTATTCCCATGTTGATTTGTGCTTGTTGGCACATACCATTTCAGCACATATGCAGCAAAATTGCATTCCAGTTTGCCACAAAATCAAAAATCTTGCTCTAATGTGTATCAATTGAGAAAAACTATCTTTGCTGGACAAATGTGCATCATATGGAGGTGATTTATTTGATATTCTATCTTTAGCTTCAAGGTTTCTTATATTGACAATTACAACTCAACTTAGATGGTGATGCAACTTCAATGATTTTGTTGAGTTAGTTTCTCCAAATTTTTTGGGTGTTTATCTCCTGTTGACTGTTCCTTAATCTTACTTTAATTTGCTTTTCATGTGAAAACTAATGAAGCTGAATAGATGGTCTCATAGCAAAATTTTTTGCATACAAGAGTTGCTTAGTCTGGATTTATAAGAATCTCTTTGTAGTTAGAGATCAGTGATTTAAAAAGCACTATGCGTCAAAAAACGCAATGTCCCAAAATGTTCGAGGCAAAACGAGGTGCTCTGAAATGTTAAAATATAAAAAAATATAATATAATTAAAAAATAATTATTTTAATAAAACATATAATATTAAATCAAAAATATACTATTAACATTATATTACTTACTGTTAATAGTAGTAGAAGGGAAGAAAAAAATTGTTAACAGTAATAGAGAGGGATAAAAGGGTCAAAGGTAGCAGTGAGAAGCTAGCAGTAGTAGCAGCGGAGGGTTAGTTTAAGACAGCTACAGCAGTGCTGCGAACAATAGCAGCGGCAGCCGTGGAAGATGTGGACAGCGACAGCGGCAGCGATGGAAGCTATGGACAGGAGCAGTGGCAGCGATGGAAGCTACGGATGGTACCAGCAGCAGTGGCAGAAGCTCCATAGGTCGTCCGTCGGTGGCGGAGGAACCTACGGTCCTCTCCCTCGACAATGGAAGGAACTACACACGGAGCGACAGTGGAAGGAAGCTATGGGCTGTTGCTAAGTTGTTGGACTTGTTTGTTGATGACAGAGGAAGGCTTTATCCGTTGCATTTGCGGTGAAGGCAACGACAGAAAGCGTCGGTAATGGAGGCAGAAGCAGCGTTAGGGTTGGCTTAGGGTCGCATAGGCGTGAAGGGTGGGGTAAGAAATTGCATTATTGAACCAAACCAGGTAAAAGTTTGGTTCGGTTTGCTTATTTGAACTGGGCGCTCGCCCAAAGCGCCCGACGCCTGGGTTTGGGCGAGCGCCCAGGTGGCGCCTCATTGAAGCGATCGCCTGGTCCACACACGAGGCACTCAGGCCTCGCCTTGCCTCACCCGAGCACCTATTTAAATCACTGTTAGAGATAATGCTTTGTCTCTAAAAGTCTAACATCTCTTTATTTCAACTGAACAAAGAAGTCCGGGGACAGATGTGACTCTAAATAAATATGACAAAGATAGACTGTTTGGACATTTAGATGTTGGTAAATCCTTGCATTTGTTTTCTGATTTTAAAGTTAGCCAGACTACTGACTTCGTACCTAAACATAGTTTTTCTCTTGGTATCTAGTGAATATTTTAAACAATTCTGAATTTTATGTGGTATTTTATTATTGCTGATATTTTAACTATAAGCCTCTAGCATTTCCTACTTCTCAACGATTTCTGTAGCTTTAATATGACTCAATAAACTTCTACTTTTTTGACTGGAAAAAGGTTAGTATTCTTTTCTAACTGACTTCATGTTTTGTCATTAGAATGTAAAAGCATATTTGAGGCGAGGAACTGCCAGGGAAATGCTCTTGTGTTATAAAGAAGCTCTTGAAGGTGAGTGCCTAATGTTACCATCATCTTCTACATTAAAATTCATTTTTGTCAATTGTGTTCTTATCCATTCTTGCAAACATTATTAGCCTTTGGCAACTTCTGAGTTGTTGCATCCATTGTTATTGAGGGCTGTAGAAACGACCTCATGCAATCATGCCTTAATGTTTGCATTCATTTGACATATTTTAAGCCCAAACGGTAGCAAACGTGCTGTAACTGGCATGTCTTGGTTATAGAACCTGTTATTGTTAAGCAAGATTGTATGTTGAAAATGAAAAAGATGTCTTACATGCAACACTTTGCGTTAATGCCAAACAAATAAAAAAAGGAAATAACTTGCAGTTTACCTGAAACCTCCAGATCTGTTACATTTAACGATTTCATTCTCCTGTTTGGTTTTGTCTTGGTTTCTGTTTGCCTTTCATTTAACCATTTATTGATTTCTAACATATGAGTAAATCAGATTCTTTGAAGAAATTTTGATCTGAAAGATTGTGATTCAAGGCTTTCTTTGGTTTCTGTTTTCTTGAGTGCTTATTAGAGTTGATGAAGGTACTGATGATTAACTTCATCTCAAATCTGATTTGGCTGTTGCAAAATGCATAAATGGTTCCTATATTTAGATGACTTGGTCCCTAGACAACACAATGCACCTCTTTATGAATTGAACCTATCATAAAGTATTCTTTATCAAAAAATCTTGAAATGCATCTCCCAGTGTTGACATGGAGAGATAATACAAGTTGTTTACATATTCAAGTTGCTCGATGATCGACACTACTGAAAATCTTTCACCCCACCTCACAAGAAGGGTTTTTATGTTCATGAATCATGGAGTTGACCAATAGTATTGTATAGCAACAAGTCTAGTCTGTCAGACTTTGCTTTTGTATGATTTAATAAAGAAGCTTCCATATATTGATCGTACCTGAAACTAAGATTTACGGAAGACTTATGAAGATTGCAAAAATAAGAATATTTTATTGGAATTTGTTACCATTGATATGGTGTTAATGATAAAGTCAAACACTGGTTTGTAGAAGTAAAGCCATAAATTAAGTGTGATGAGTATCTGAAACTAAAGATCTATGAATAAAATTGCTCCCCTGCAAAAGCTTGGTTTAATGACTAATGACAACTTCTCCTTTTGGATTTGTCGTCTATATAGATTTTAAGCATGCCTTGGTTCTGGAACCACAAAACAAGGATGCCGTTGATGCAGAGAAGAGATTAAGAAAACTGATGGCCTGAAGTCATGCTCAACAGCCACTCCTGGAAGCAAGAAGCATGAAGCTCATCAGAAGGCCGAAAAGTGTTTCGGACATCCCGAAAATGATCCAGTTTTTGGTAAGCTCTTAATGTGTGTCTCGGCAATAAAGGCCTTCGCGTCAAGTTATTACCAGCTATCATAAGCATTAACATAATTTTGTTTCAAAAAAAAATTGCTATAGCTTTTTGCAAAAAAAAATGTGCGCTGTAATCATGAAACTGTACTGTAGAGTTACAAATACCACATTGTGATCTCACTGAGGTTTAACATTATATTTTTCCTGCAAATTCAATGCGCAGAACACAATCAACTTTTCTTGGAGCATTCATCACGGTCATGCTCAGACACAATTAACTTCATGAGCATTTATCAAGGTCGCAGGTTAATATAGAATTAATTATGAATGCATATTGGATATGGATTAATTATGGATCTTAAATGCTTGGTGATAAATGCTCCCATAGCAGTCTGGTGATGGTTTTGTCTGCCTCTCCAGTGTTGTGAATACCATACGCATCCAAAGGAGAATAGAGATCGAAGGGATAGAGAGGAGCACGAGAATCATATGAATAAGAACCACTAGATTAGGTATGAAGAGAAACTTGGAAGGAGAAGGGAGATGGTGGATAAAAGAGAGGAGCACGAGAAGCATAAGGAAGAAGAGTTGAAAGTTAGCGAACCACCTGCGGTCCTACGACGAGAGCCACTTGAGGGGGATTGAAATATGACGAGTAATAATCGGTGTCCCATTTGATATATGTTAGTGCTATTTCGAAATGATATACAAGTTTAGTAATTTAATTTCAATTCACACTCACTAAATTAATATTTCGATGTGATATACGAGTATAATTTAATGTACATGAGGAACCCACAAATTATAGGGGAAATATTAGATACTGGTGCTTAAGATGAAGATAGGCATACGAGTAATGATAGCGATAAAACTAGTTGAATGCACCTTTAATTATTATTTTTTAATTAGAAGAATTTTTTGTTACATCCAAATAACATAATTCTAACTTTACATATATTACTTATGTAATAATATACTAATCAATTCGGATACCTCAACAAATAGAAGTAGTCCGACAAAAATGGTGGAGTAAACGCTTGATTTTTAGAACCAATCAAATAATCTACGATCGAAACAAATGGACAAAAGCATGGCATACAAATCTTATCGCTATGTCTCTCTACACGAAGCACGGAGCCGATTGCCTTCCTCTAGCTATGATGGAAGCAAAACCCGTTCCTGCGCAACGAGTTGCACGAAACAGCAGCAGTAGGTACTCTTCTTAATCAGCGAGCTTCCTTCGGATCGACGATGCAGCCATTTTAGCCCACAGCATTAGCAACTCTTTCGTCTCCTCCGCCTCATCATCCATCTGTTTCACGTCTCCGTGGCCTCTTCCTTTGTTGACAGCCCAGAGACACGGAGGAGAATCTTCATCCAATGCACCCATCTCCTTCTTCTTCTTCTTCTTCTTCTTCTTCTTCTTCTTCTTCTTTCCAGCATCCATCTGATCGACGTAGTCTGCACTTGCCATGGCTAGAGCCTCAAGCGAAGTGCCCTTCTTCTTCTTCTTCTTCTTCGTCTTCGTCTTCTCGTCATCCATCGGTTTGTCTTCTTCATGGTCGATAGCTAAGAGATATGGAGGAATCTCTTCGTCCAATGTGTCGAAGTCTATAGCACTATCCTCGTAGTCTGCACCTGCCATTGCTAGAGCTTCAAGTGATGCACCCATCCCCCCACCTTCTTGAGCACTGTCTGAGATGGATACGACATGATATTCCATGGGTCTTTATAGCCAAAGATCACGTGCACGGGTGTAGGTCAAAATTATCCCAGTCCAATTTGTACAGAAGCCGATCGACGGTGCAGAGGTGAAGAAGTCTCAGGATGTCCTCAGACCGGGAAGCTTCAACTCCATTGCAAGCTCGTGAAGCCTGTGATGAGCCACTTGGTGTATTCACGCACATGAACGGCAAAACATTCGGGGAGGAGTTGTCTGACGCGGGAAATGACTCTCCTACGTGGAATGCCTTCTGAGCTCGCCATGCACCACACGTGCATCGGAAGGAGGAAGACTAACGATTACAGTAAGACGCTCCATCGCCTACGTATCTCATCATGGTGATGAGGTGCCAGTCAACCCGCAATGGCTTCGTGAAACCTGTGATCGGTCAGCCACTCGTCGTCGGAGTGCTCGGTAAAACTTGTGGAAGAGTTGGAACGACCGACGTGGGGAAGAGGACGACGGCAAGTTAAGTGACTCATGCAGAAGGTGAGCTCTCCTGCCGCTGTGTGGACGTCGTCGCTCGTGACATCACTGCTGCCGTACTTTTGCGTGCGAAATTTTTGTTGCCTTCGTTTTCCCACCCAAAAAAACAAATGATAGAGATGTAATGTTTTAGAGTTTATTTTGGAGGAAGAAAAAACCTTTATTTTTAGACTTTTCTCTCGAGAAATATTTTCATGTTTCCAAAGACCAATCTTTATTTGTCGTAATCCTTGAAACCTCACTCGATGATGAAACGAAATCGATCTAATTCATCTTATTTTTTGAATAGACACTCAGTATATGCTTACATTATAACTAACATATAAGTCTCTATATTTGATTGTTTTGATTCCTAAATTAATAATGATACCTATTTAGAATTATTTGAAATGATTTCTATTGAATTTTGAGCCCGTTTGACTTAAATGTTTGACTTTGCATATTTTACTTATTTTTATGCAATTGACTGATAATGGTTGCCTTTTTTATGTTTAATTGCATCCAATTTGTTATTTTTCCTGTTTAATTGCCTAAAGTCACAAGCTTCTAAACCTGTCAGTGATCAAGCTTTCAATGTTATTAGTCATTTCAGAAAGTGTTATTTCAGCTTGAATCTCAAAGGAAAAATCTTGCATTTTGATACCTTTTTCCATGTTGAAGAATTCTATAGGAGCAACAATTTGCCACAACACTGGCAACTCAGTAACTTAATGGTGTTTTTCTTACCATTGACACACAGTTAGCAATAACCAAATTTCATTGATTGATGCATCCAATCAAATTTTCTAAATCAAAGATGAAAGAAAATAAAAGATCATCACATTTAAAATTCATATACTACAGAGGCTACCCAACAGAAGAATCAGCATCTCTCTTGCTGGTCCACATCCCAATCCTAGAAAGAGACTAGGTTCATGTGCAGCACAAGGTAATCTGTAAAGAGAAGAGATAGAGAATGAGTATTTTCCCATTCATGGCATCTGTTTAGATTTTGCTACAAATAATTGGAGAGACCTCCACATTTGATCAGCTGGACCTCAGTACAAACATATATTTATGAGCATTTTCACTGAACAATACAGCTCATTTTGCACCATACACAACTCCTTACGGATTAGAGGGATTCGACATATTGAGTCCAGACATTTTAAAGTATAAAATTGTACAACACACACTCAATATACATTTTAGTGGTTCTAAAATGCACCGGAAGAAGAGTACCATTGACGCCATGGAGTTTCTTGATGCGGCAAGCAACAGTCATGGAGATGGAGGCCATTCGAAGCCAGCAGAGGCATCACTAAAACCACATCCATAGAACCTGACTTCCAACACCTCTAGTCCTTGCTCATCATTCCAAATACCATCATCATCACTTTCTCCATCATAGATATTGATCCCATCGTCGATGAAATCCCAGGAGTATATAGTAGAATCAGAGTAGTCAGAGCAATCTTCCCAGAAGCTCCGCTCGTAGGAGTCTGTGACATGTGGTCCCAATACCTTCAATCTGGGATGGCACTCCTTTATGTACTTCTCATCAAGCTTGACATCCCAACACCCTCTTAGGTCCAAGAACTCAAGATCCCTGCACCGCGAGAGAATATCAAGGACCCCTGTTGTAGTCAAGACCAGGTAGGCCATCTCCAACCGACGCAGCTTGGGCATTGTATTGGCAATGGCATAGGCCTCTTCGTCTTGGCAGACCTTGTCTTTCACTTCTATTGGATGCATCCTACGCCGCAGCCCAACAAGGAATTTGCAATTCCTACCAAAAGCTTCTAGCGCATGGGCACCTATCTTTCCACAGTAGCTCACATCCAGGAAAGTGATATTCGACAACCTCGGGGCAACTCGTTCTACTATTGAGTCACTTATTTCACTCCTTGGCAACTCCAATCTCTGAAGAGAATCAGCACTGGCAAAACAAAAAAAGGATAAAAAAGCCATGAATGCAAGAAAAAAGGTTAACCATAAGAAACAAAAACAGCAAAACCTAAATAAAGCCCTTTTCTTTTCTCTTTTTTACTATTTTCCATGTTTGTCTCTCTTAATACCAGAGTTTGGAATTAAAAAAATGAAAAATAGGAAACAAAAGAATTTACAGACCAAAGAGATGAGACACAAATTTCCAATTTAGTATCATCACATTTATTAGTTTCCATTGATGAACCCCAGTGACAACCTGATCATTGTTTCCTATTGTAATCAAATGCTATAATGGCCTGTTGTGTGAGGCGTGGGCTATTAAGAGGGGATAGTGAAGGCTTTGGATCTGGAGTTCCTAGCCTGATTGTGTAAACGGATTCAAAAGCTAGTATCGATATTTTGACGAGGCATGCGACACCGCCTTGGAGTATTGCTGTGGTGTAACAGAACATTCACCCTCTAACAAGGCATTTTTTTGGAGTGTTCTTTCGTCCATATTTGGCGTGAGGGCAATCATCCGGCAAACTGGCTCGCCAACTTTGTTAGAAACTCTTCTTTTGGTTGTAACTGGCAGAAGGTAAAGAGGGTTTACGTCCCGATCTAGATTTTTTGGTTTGCAGTGATGCAAACGGAGATGGTTGTATTGAACAATGCTAAGTTTTGATTTATAAATCGTTCCTTTCTTGGAAAAAAAAATGCTATAATGATTTCTTTTTGCATTAAAAGCCTCAAGGTAAACAACAAATTTAGCAAGCAACTATAATCTAATAAACAATTTTAAAACAAAAGGATTTCTACATAATAGGCATATATCAGTGATTTAAAAAATGCTAGGCGCCAAGATCCCAAAATGCCCGAGGCGCTAGGCACTTGCCCAAGCGAAGCGAAACGCTCTGAAATATTAAAATATAAAAAATATATAATATAATTAAAAAATATAATTATTTAAATAAAAAATATGATATTAAATTAAAAATATACTGTTAACAGTATATTACTTACTATTAACAATAGTTAGAGGGGGGAGAAAATTTGTTAATAGTAATAGAGGGGGATAAAAGGGTCATTGACGGTGGAAACCAACAGAAAGTGACCACAGGTAGCGGTGAGAAGTTAACAGCAACGGCGACGGAGAATTAGTTTAAGAGCCGCAACGGTGCTGTAAACGACAACAACGACAATGGCGGAAGTTGCAAACAACAAAAATGGTAGCAGCGGAAGTTGCAGACAACAATAACGACAACAACAGAAGCTACGGATAGTAGCAGCGACAATGGCGGAAGCTCCAAAGGGCGTTCGCCGATGGCGAAAAAACCTGCGGTCCTCTCCCTCTATAGTGGAAGGAATTGCACATGGAGCGACAGCGGAAGAGGAAGGCTCGGTCCACTGCGTTTGGCAATGGCAAAAAGCATCGACGGCGAAGGCAGAAGCAGCTAGGGTTGGCTCGAGGTTGCGCAGGCATGAAAGGTGGCTTTTGAGGGTAAGAAACTACGTTAAAAGTCTGGTTTGATTCGCTTATTTGAACCGGGCCCTCGCCCGAAGCGCTCGATGCCTGGGTTCAGGTAAGCGCCCAGGCGACGCCTCATTGAAGCGTGCCACCTGGTCCACACACGAGACACTCGGGCCTCGCCTCGCCTCACGCAAGCTTGAAAGATTCGTTATGGATGTATGTGCCAGGAATAGCTGTAAAATATTAACCATACTTCCAAAAGTTTCAGGATCGGTACATGAATCTTTTCTAGCATTGATTGTTGAGGTGACATTACAATTTATCATTTTCACGACAAGTAACCTACTTAGTACACATGATGTGATGCCCAATAAATACAAATGTATGGATCTTTCCAAGAATTTCAGATTACGATTCACACTTCTGATATCAATATTCAGAATGTCTAAAAATATTTAGTTATCTACACAAAGAAATATCAAGGGATATTCTACAAATAAACTTTCTGTTAAGATCCTCAAAACCTCAACCCGCAGCTATGTTCTACCAATTCTATGAGTCCTTAACCAAATTATGAAGTTATGTGGCCACAAATAGAAAGAAAATGCTAAGTATGTGAGATGTCGATCTTAAACTATAACAAAATAGGCAATCTCATGAGCCAATTCAAAGAGTTTTGAGGAAGAGATAATTGAAGAAATGCAACCCACACACTACTTACTGGTCAGCAATGAAGGTAAACATGGATTCAGTATGAAGCCCAGAGATGCTAAGCCGGCGAAAGGAACCACAGCTTCGAGTTACAAGCATCTGAAGCATTTGATCTAGCTGTTCGGGTTTGCACCGCAGGCTCCATTCCTCTATGTCAATCTCTTGCCAGCAGTAAGGCCCCAAAACCACCCTGCACCAAGATTTGCATACCCTGGGCACCATAGTCAAAATCTCTTGCAATGAGAGGTTGCTGAAGATTAGCCCTAGAGCATCAGGAATCAGCTCCTCCCAGGCTCTGAAGTCACTGCAATCTGCCATCCTGTGAGCAAAGAAAGAGAATCAACCTAAATCTCTGCTCAAACACGCAGATTAAAATAATGTGTACTAACAATACCAAGAAATTCCACCCACAAGTATGAACTCAAAATGTTGCAGAGCAAATCAAGAACTAGAAAACCAAGGGAAAAAAATGTTCTTTGAATCAATTGGATGTGATATATAAGCTCATGAGAAGAAATTAAATATTAAAAAATAAAAGAATTTGGAGACCGAAAACCATATAGGAAAAGTGATTCAAAAGGTGAGATCCAGATTATGGATCAAGATGGAAATGCTATATAGCAAAAGAAAGTGTCCCATCATTGTACAATGGTTCGCCTGGAAAGCTTTGAACCAGCAACCACTAACTCGAATTCAAGATGAAAAATATGGTTAATGGGAAGAGTCGAAGGAGAAAACAGATGCAATTCTCTACCTCCAAAACTGGCCCCTGTTCACCCGTAAAGGAGAAAGCAAAAATCCCTCTTTTAACGAAAAAAAAGGACTAATATAAGGACCTAGTTGAAGAATCCACTATGAAAATGAAGCAGGCCGAGAGATCAAGAACCCTAAATTCCAAGAACGAGGACGAATAACTTCTGCTAACTAAAAGCCATCATCTTGAGTCAAAAACGCCGCTCCAGACGACGAAATCAAGATAATAAAAGGCGACAGATCCAAATATATGAGAATATAAATCAAAGAATTGCGTCTTTGATCTCAAATCAATTCACGCGCACCGACCAACAAATCACATAAAAGAGAAAAATAGGGCGAGGACGGGGAACCACCACCCAGACGCGGCTGTTACTTCCAGCGCAAGAGAAGCCGCTCCCGAATCCCAATCACCAAAAGAAGACAACAGCCCCAGTGAAGAACAGTGCGAGATATACTGCAAATAATGGCATTCACAGTACGAGGGGACAACATGGGTGACAAAGCCTCGTGCTTTAGGTCGTCTCTAGGAGAAAATAATGGCATTCGGAACCAGCAGACACGGGAACGGCGGATTGGAGATGGACGAAGCACCAACGAAGAGCAAAAAGAAACTATTTTGACGGGTCTTCGAAACAGGAGAGGCGACAGAGGGGGAGGGAATTCTCACCAAAGCCCGAAGAGACGCGGAAAACTACAGCAATCTGCAAAACACGCACGCAAGAAACCCTTTTATCTCGACGTAGTGTGATCAATTATTTGCTTTGTTCTCCGCACCAGAAGTGTGCAAAGAAATTGATGGGGAAGAACTGAACCGGGAATGAACCAACATGGACCGGACGGTTCGATTGCAGTAACGGGCGGTCTGATTTCGACCCAATCAAACCCAGATCGATTAAACAGGAAATCTAGTCCAACGAGGAGGCGCTCAATCATGTAGTACATTCCAAATGACTCGGTCTGACCTAATTGGACCGGATCCAAACTCGTCTTAACCCATCAATGCCGGTCGTTTCGATTTTGACTGATCACCACTCGAAAACCCTCACCGTGGCCATTGAATGAATGCTCCCAAGATGGGCTTTCGATCCTCGAAGCGGCCTCTGACGACGCCTTGGAGCGCGACTTCGGGGCTCGATTTCGGCGTCATCGGGGAAGCGCTCTTCGCCTCACAAACTCAACCGCCGATCGGGTATGATTATGCTCTACTGCTCTTTCGATCGATCTCCAAATGTTCTTTTTTCGGCGTTGATTGATGAGACAACCCTGCGTATCTCGTACGAGGATCATGCCTTGGTCGTTAGAGTCGATGTTTTGTTTGATGTGGTGTCTTCCCATTTTCCATCTTCAGAATCTGCTTGTCTTGGTTGAAGTGAAAAGAGTTCAATTAACACCTGTTAGATATGAATTAAGTTCCAAAACAAAGATCAACATTTGTAGTTCTTGTTTGTGCAATCCCCAAAGGAGTAGAATTCACTTCGAAAGCCACTGTTTGGAATGGTAAGGCGACTATATTTCAATTAAATTGGATGGAATTGTAGTGGTTTGTTATAAATAATAGCAAATAACATGATTTGTGGATTTGGATAAAATCCATTTATCTAAGTACTCCCTTTGCTTCGTTTTTATATGACATCTTTCTTTTCTTCATTGCACATCCAACCCAAAAGTATGAATGGGTAAGTTCAGGTCAAATTAAATATTCTTAAAAAAATTGGTTTCATTTTCATTAGATTGTTTGTGCAGTTTGCACTGTATATGGAAAATTTTCCCTTTTCTCCCTTCTTCTGGCCTGTCCTGGAGTTAAGAGATGATATGGGGTTGCTCAATGATGGCTTGAGGCTAAACTAGAAGGAATGGAGTAGCACTTTCTGTTTTACTGACCTTTTGGGTTTTCTTGGGCAATCTTTTTTTTATCCTTATCTAAATTTGCCGTGTTGGAATTCACCATTAGTTTCAGATGGTTGACTTGCTGTGTCAGCCACTTGTGGATATCTTCAACTTTTTCATTTTTCAGCTTCTAGCCAATTCTATGTTGATAGAAAATGCTTTTCTCCTTTTGATGATGATGATGAGATGCTTCTGTGAGAATGTTTCTAATATATGTTGCTCTCAACGTGCTCTAAGATATCACATCCGATATTTCTATGGAATTCTTAAGGAACTTGTTTAATTGTTGCCAAGGCATCCAGGTGGTGCACAGGCCAAAATACACAGTAATTACCTAAGTGTTCAAGTGGACTGCTTACCGTATTTTGGTAAGAAAATCTGGAAAAGAAAAACCCAAAATCACTAATGACATATGAAATGATATTTTTGAACCAAACATATGATCCACAGAAAATATGAGCAAAAAGGGAGCTCAAGTTGATTGATAATAAAATATGATGTCTTTAGATATTACTCCATTACTTTGCCACCTGTGGAAGACAGCTAACGGCATTGAAGCGGGGACTTCTGTGTTTTAATATGGAAGGACTGCTATGGTGACTAGTCCAATAGAGAGTTAATAAGAAAGAACAAATTTCCACCTGCGGAAGAAAGCTAAATGTATAACACAATTGAAGCAGGAACTTCTTGAGTTTCAATAGGGAAAAAAACTACTTAGAACAAAGGAGATATTTACTGACTAGAATAATTAAGCAATAACAAATGAAAAGAATCCAGAAACGATTTCTGAAAACAAAGACTCAAGATGCAACAAAAAAGATAAAGGGAGAAAAAGTAAGTACAACAGCATCTGGTTACAGTCATTTTATAGTGGAACACTATAGTGGTATGACATGTCAAAGTAGAGGGAAAAGAGCTACTAGTACTACCAGTGTCAACAGCAGTAGCAAATTGAAAAGAAAATGCATGAACTTTACAGATAGAAAATGCAACAAAAGCATTAGCATAAACAAAATCGAAAAATAAAATGAGTGGGAGAAGTATCAAGAGGTATATATCAACAAGCAGTGGTAAATATAGGATAGCAGTGAGAAATTAAAGGAAAAAAAAAAGAAAGAAGACAAGTAAAAATGTATGGGTATGGATCAAAATATATATGCTAAACAATGTGTCATTAGAGAATTTCAGTGCCAAGATATAGTTTTGGTTTTAGTGTTACAATTTGGTCAGCTTTTGGTGTATTCTTGCAAAAGGTAGCTAGTTAGGAAATTGCAGCAAAATAAAAACCAGTCAGCATTGTTGCAGTTACTATCCACGGTGATGATGTATGGTGGCATTACACTGATCAGGTGTTACCATCTATGTATAGGTGTCAATGATGCAGAAGCAAGTTCCCTATCTCTTCCCTATCTAAAGTCATGATTACTTGATAACTAATCTACAGACTGAACATTTTGAGTGCGTTCTTGTAGTGTATTATGATATCAACCTTGTTTTACCCTTTGTGATCCGATCTTAACTAATTTGTGATTCCATATTCAATGGATTGTTATGAATGCAGAAATAACCGACAGTTGCAGCTTTTTTGGTTTTTGAGATGTTATTGCACTGATACTTGCTCGATGGTCAATGTACATACGTTAAGTACAAACAAAATTATCAAGATTTGTCCATGAGCTGTTTCTTTACATATTTTTAGGAAAGATAAAAGACTAGACATTTTTTTTTTGGGCATTTGGAATCATGTCGAAAAATTGAAAGTGACTTCTGTTTCTGTCATTCTTGATATAGTGTTATTTTTAAAAAAATAAAAGTAAGTGACGAAGATGATATTCAGAGTTCAGGATTCTGCGATAAACTATCAAAGTTTGGCATCTTCGACATGATTACAGCTATGCAAGGTCAAACTTGATGAAAGAAAAGCCACCCTGTTGCAAGGTCTCCTTTAACATGATTACAGCAGGTATTTATAAAGCCTTAATAACTGAGAATCAGTTCAGATTAGTATGTCTCCTTTTATTTGAACGGCACTGTTATCTTTTCTTCCTCATGCATTGAGTAGCTCGAAAGCAGTAGTGGTCAACCTATGAATCAAGATATTTACAGCTTGTCATAATATGCATGCAAAATAAGTTGGCATGGTATCTGATTGGTTGTGCTCACTCCTCAAAGTACAGAAATCATAGGAACTTGTTAATGGAAGATATTGTAAGGTATCTTTCGTTAGGTAATATTTTAGCTCCTCCTATGTTGATACTAGATGCGTCAACCCACATTTTGGTGATGGCAACTTATGCTTGTGCCAAGGACCACCATCTGTGGACCATCTCTTTGACACATCACTGTTGACACTTTCAGAATTCTGAAGCATCCCATAAGGGTCAGATAAAACTATATATATTCAAACAAGAGAATAGTCTCTTTTTTGGTTTTTACTAGGCTATCAGTTTAATTTTACTGGTCCCTCTATTATTTAAACCAGTTCAAAAAACATTTCAGTTGTGATGACTCGTGGTGGTTTCTAGGGTACCCTTGTTTGGACCAATGGCAAACAAAATAGGGTCACTGAGAGCCGGCAGTGATTCCTTTAGCGTCTTAAATCCAATTCCACAAAAGATGTTGGTCATCTCGGAAGTATCATGACCTCTAACCTATATCTAGGTTTCTATAAATGTGAACATTCATATGCAAATCCCAAAGACTTAGGAATAGAATGCCAAGAATTGTTATGGATCTTTTTTTTTGGTTCACAAAAAAGATCATGTTTTGCTGAGAACAGAAAAAAAAGATAATTTTCAAAAACTTTATATTTTTTTAAGCAACGACACTTGAAGGATTTAGCATATAGTTGAGCTAATTGAAACATCTATATAATGATCCTGATCTGGGTTTGTTTCAGTACTTGGAAAAGAGTTTCATCTCTGACTAATGCATTTACATAGGTTGTGCTTAATCCTTCAATTCCTGTGTATTTTTTATATTTCAACATAGGTCATGATGCTTACATGCCATGGGACAAAATCTACCCCATCCTTTTGCTCCTTGTCTTCTTTCTTCTCTCTTCTCTCAGTGGAATCACACCAGACAACTATATGATCGGTTGCAGGATTAGAACCCAAGCCATGTGATGGGTGTTTCTGCCTATTTGAGGAATGCATGCCATGGGAGGTTAACTTGGAATTATACGCCTTGCATCATTTAATGCCTTGCTATCTTTTTCCTCCTTCCTACGTATATTTGTATTATTACAGCAGGTCATGACGACAGTGGATTGTCTTCTGAGGAGAGGTGAAACCAGACAATTCCTTGGCCCACACCTCTCTCTCTCTCTCTCTCTCTCTCTCTCTCTCTCT